GCTCCACCGTGCGAGCCGACCAGACGGGTCTTTCAAGTTGGTCAGCCAGCAGAGGGAATGATGGTCGCTGACTACGTGGAAAGAGCGACCATAGAGGTACGGACGAAACTTCATAACCGCCCATACGACGGCAAGACACTCTTTTTCCGTTGTGGAGTAGTTGGACTCGGCGCGGGAAAGCGTCCTACTAGCATATGCGATCACACGCTCGGCTGAGTCTTGCCACTGGACGAGTACAGCGCCTAAACCCACGTTGCTGGCATCTGTATGGACCATGGTAGGAGCATCCTCATCAAAGTGAGCAAGCACAGGCGGAGTCTACAGGCGTTGTCGGAGATCGTCAAATGCCACCTGTTGATCGTCGCCCCATGTGAACGAAACGTCTTCTCTTGTGAGTCGTGTTAACGGCGAGGCTATGTTGGAGAAATTGGCAATAAACATTCGGTAGTATGCGCATAGACCAAGGAAACGCCTGACTGCTTTCTTGTCTTTTGGTACCGGAAATTTTCTGACGGCCGCAATCTTATCGGGATCAGGTCGAACACCTTCATGGCTCACCACATGGCCTAAAAATTTAAGCTCCTTGAAACCGAAACGACACTTCTCGGGTTTCACTGTCAGGCCGGCAGACCTTATTGCCCTAAATACCGATAGCAGCCTGCTCAGGTGGTCCTCAAATGTTTTTGAAAAAACAATGACGTCGTCCAGATAGACCAGACATGTCTGCCACTTAAGGCCTGACAGAACGGTATCCATCAGTCTCTGAAATGTTGCGGGGGCTGAGCACAATCCGAATGGCAAGACTTTAAATTCATAAAGCCCGTCAGGCGTTACAAAAGCCGTTTTTTCTCTATCTCGCTCGTCGACCTCTATTTGCCAATACCCACTTTTGAGGTCCATTGACGAAAAGTAGCGTGCATATCTCAGCCTGTCGAGTGAATCATCGATGCGCGGTAATGGGTACACGTCTTTCTTTGTCACACGGTTCAGCTTGCGGTAGTCGACACAAAATCGCAAGCTTCTGTCTTTCTTTTTAACCAGCACTACCGGCGATGCCCAAGGACTTCTTGACGGCTGGATGACGTCATCATCGAGCATTTTCTTCACTTGTTCCTGGATTGCTTCACGCTCTTTCGGTGCTACGCGGTATGGGTTCTGTCGTATTGGCCTTGCCGTCTCCTCCGTTATTATCCGATGCTTCGTCAGTGGCGTTTGACTGACCCTCGAGGTCGATGAAAAACAGTCTTTGAACTGGTGAAGAAGATCTACCAGACGCTGTCTCTGCGCTGGTGACAAATCTGAGCTTACGTCAATAGGTGGTGGGGCTGACGTGGCTTGCGGCTCGTCCTGTTGTACTACACAGCACTCGCGGATTTCGGTGATCTCGTCGAAGTAGGCAACTGTAGTGCCTTGTGTAATGTGTCGTCGCTCGTTGGTAAAATTCGTCAACAGAACCTCTGCTTCACCGCACACAACGTTGACGATACTTCTGGCAATTGCAACACCGCGAGCGAGTAGGAGCGTCAATACTTGTTCAGCGATTCCTTCTCCAGTATTCTGCTCGCTGCACGTGACTGGAACAAGGCGGCACGATAACGGAGGTATGGTCACATCGTCAATGACTCGTAGGGATTTTCGGTGTAGCGCTGCGCTTTGATTCGCTGAAAAGGTCAGTACACCGTCCGGAATATTGATGATGGCACCATATTCACGCAAGAAATCCATCCCCAAGATTGCCTGTTTGCAACACTCAGAAAGGATAACAAAAGTTGCGACGAAGGATGCATCCCCTATCTTCATTCTTGCGGTGCACTTTCCGGTAGGTGTGAGTAGCTGCCCTCCAGCTCCTCTAATCTGCGGTCCTGTCCATTCCATTCTAACCTTCCTGAGCGTGTCTGCCAGACTCTCACTCATTATTGAGAAGTCTGCGCCAGTGTCGACCAATGCCATGACGTCATGTCCGTCAATCGTAATTGCAACTTCGGCAGTAACAACCCCATCTTTCGTCGATTCATTGAAAATGTGTCTCTCTTCGCTCGGCAGTAATGGGGGATTTTCAGCACTTCGACGATTCGCAACCTTCCCCCCTAAGGTCGCTGCTTTTAGTTTCCCCGGCGTGGACTAGGAGATCTCCCTCTTGGCATGTCAGTGGTGCTCCGTCTAGAGGATGGAGAATAACGCCCAGGAGAGGGTGAGCGTGACCGAAACCCAGGAGGAACATCCCGCGGGGTCATGACACTCGTGTCGACGTCAGATGTTCCGTTGAAATGGCGCCGAGGAACCGTAGAAGGAAACCCTTGGTACCCTGCGGCGCGATACGGGCAATACCGAACGATGTGGCCTGCTTCCCCACAGTGAAAGCACAGGGGCCTATGATCAGGTGTACGCCAGATGTCAGTTTTGCGAAGTGGTGGCCGCCTCGGCATCGAAGTTTCTCTGTAGTACCAAGGCGCTGTCGGCGGACGTTGCTGGTGGTACTGATGTGGTGTCGGCACGTTCGCTGGCTGTCGGCGGACTACGTCTGCATAGCTTGCCCTGTGACTGCTCGTGTTCGGCTCAGGAAGCGAGAGCGCTTGCCTGATCTCCTGGCGTACAACTTCCGTTACTGAGGCGATCGCACAGTCATTCGGTTTGGCGACGAGTTTCTTGACCTCTTCTTGTACGATTTCTCGTATTAGTTGGCGCAAAGAACCTTCGTCGGGAGTTGTTGCTGTGGTAGAGGCTGCCACGCTGATCGGTGCACTGTGGGTTGGACGGTCATACTGGCGATAACGTAGATGCAGTGCACGTTCGATAGATGTCGCCTCCTTGGAGAATTCATCCACACTTGTAGGCGGGTTTCGTACGAGGCCAGCGAACAGCTGCTCCTTAACGCCCCGCATGAGGTGGCTAACCTTTTTGGCTTCGGGCATATTAGGATCCGCTCGACGAAATAGCCGCGCCATGTCCTCAACAAACATCGTAACGGATTCATTTGGTTTCTGAATCCGTGACTCGAGGAGACGCTGTGCGATTTCTCGTCTTTCAGTGCTCGCGAACGTGTCGAGAAACTTCTGCCGGAACTCGTCCCAAGACGACCACACGCGATTCGTGAACCACGTTCGGGCTCCGTCTTGAAGCGGAAAATAAACGTAGCCCAATTTCTGTGTGGTGTTCCAACCGTTAACATTCGCTGTGTGCTCGAATTCCTCGAGCCAGTCATGTGCATCCTCATATGCGTTTCCGTGGAAGTCAACCGGAAGTCGAGGGTTCAAAACAGTCACCTGTGTCGTGCTTGGGCTGGACATGTTGGGGCCAGTGCTTCCAGGCGCCGTCATGCTTTCTGGCACAGTCACGCTTTCTGGCAATGGACCAAACTCCGGGCTGAGGCCTAACAGGCGCCGGCTGCTGCGGTGAACGGGGGTGTCGATGCGCGGAAGTTTTTCTTGACCAGATGCGGGGCTGTTGTCAGGCGTCCCGAACATGTACCCAGCTCCTCCACCAGTGTCACAATGCAGAAACAGCAGCAGTCGAATCCAGGGAACTCACTTTAATTGTATTAGAATACTGGCAAACTGATCGGGAGAGAACCTCGTCTTCTTCACTCGCTGCGCGTGTTCTTCGTTGTCCTCTTCGCGCTGCATATTCAATGTGGCAATATGACATTTAGTTTTTCGTGTTGGAAGTAGCGAGGCAGGGGTGCTTCAGCTACCACTCAATAGTATCGCTAAAGTACATTGCCTAGTGGCTCTTGAGGGCCGTTGTTTCCACTGATTTGCAGCGAAATCAGGATCGGGAATCAACACACTGCACCCGGACTTCGCTTAAAATTATCCGCCCAAACTTGCATTTAAAATACGGGACCGTGGAAATACTTTGAAATAAGTGGCATTTGAAATAGCCGAGTTCGAACTAAGAGGTTTTACTGTGTGTTGTCATCCTATCAGAGTTGCTGACTTGGCACAGCTGAAAGTAGACATTCTTCCGAAGCTTTGTCCTATGCCTCTATAAAGCCACTGACTGTTAATTCGATAGTGTTAAAGAGCTCGTTTTGCAGAAATTACTGCATCAAGGTCGGTGTCAGCATCATTGGTTGTGAGCGAAAAATTATCTTCTCTGTGACTGCAAAAATCAAGAAAGATGAAAAATAAATAATAAAAGTTTGTTGGGTCCAAGTGAGAATCGAACCCGGGTCGTTTGCTTAACAAGAAGTTGGTATACCGCACAGCCACACGTCTGATTGGAAATGCAGTGAGAATAGCCTTCATGCCTTAAAAACACTTGTGTCCTGTATACAAGCTTCACAATGCAACATGTAATATCGCAGTAATATTGCCTGATACAGGCATACCTTGCCATGAGGGGTCAGAACAAGTGATTATAACTACCTCTTGGTTTAACATTTCATACATTTCATACATTTCATGGTTTAACATTTCATACGCATAATTACTCGTGGTTTAAAGCATGCTACCCATTACAAATAATCCACTAAGGACAGGATATTGCTATCGCATCTAACTCTTGTTTGTTCAAGGGTCCCAAAATTTTTTTGTTGCTTTCGGTGAATTTTTGCTATACCTAATTGAAGTGATGTAGAGAAAGTCCAGTGTAGTGGACAAAACGCTACACTCTGGGATGGGGGCGCACCATCAGCGTTTCATCTAGACGCAGACTCTGCTTAGTGTTTGAGGTGCACGCAAAAAGGCGGGATTTTTCACGCGTTCAAAAATGCGACGTCGTAACAGATAAATTAAATTAAATACGAATATCTTACTGATGTGAGCTGCGCCTTGTTTCAAATAGCTCCACGTAGAAAATAAAGGGGGAAAGTTTATATTTCATGTTGAAAATACGGGCACTGTTGCGGAACTACATTCACTGGTGGTAGGATGCCCGCGATTTGGCTCTGTAGCCTTCGCTCCCATGCCAAGAAAGGTTGTCGCCGAGTGTATCATTATGCTGCAGGCAAATTTCTGAAATGCATTCTACGCTCACATCTGCTGTGCTTCCTTTTTCAGGTGTGGAGGATGGGCAGACGGTACGCATGCAAGTGGGCAAGAAAGAGCTCTTTGTCACATTCAAGGTTAGCTGGTTTGTTATTTATAGGGTAGCATTTTTTTATTAGAAACACATCCAGGAGTGATCGACATTCTTAAAAGGTTTTCACATTAATTTCGTTCCTTAGCAGTGGGATTACACAAGCTTCTACGTAACACATCCTTACTATATTTATTTTAACAAAAAAAAAAAAACATGAGGTACGGCCTTTTTTTCTTTCTACAAAAAAAAATAGAATGATTATTTTTCTCACACCACAAAAATAAAAAAAGGGCATGCCTATTTTGTTTTAAGTAGAGGATTATAGTCAACATATATTTTCATTGCACAGATCTTTGTTAGATGTCATGCCTTTGCAAAAGCTTTCTCTTGCCCCTTAGTTCTGTTGTAACTGCATTTATGTCATTGCATTTTATTGAATTGCACCTCACGTGATGTTCACATTACCAGGCTGTTGTCCGACTTATGTCGCACTATTCAACACCCTAAGCTTTCTTTGAATTAGCTTTATTCTTTCTGACAGCTCTAGCTGGGAAATGACTTTTCTACTTCTGAGACTTGAGTAGTATAAAATGAGCAAATGTATGGTCAAAGAATCATAATTTTTGTGTGAAATAAATCATTTCTATCGTAGTTACAGAGGGCTTGAGCTGTGTTTTGGTTTCTGGAAGTGCAAGATATTTGTTTCAGTTAGGAGCGTGAAGATAGTAGAAGATTTTGCATAATGAATCAAATAGTGCACATCAGAAATACTGAATTTTTTCAATACATTTTGAATAGTCAGCACCGACGGGGAAAACCCAGAGGCACAGAACTTTGAGACAGTGATAGATAATTTTATTGTTTTAATTACTGAATTAACAAGATGCATACAGTCCAATCATGTGATTCATGGTCGTGTAGGTTCAGGAAACACTGCATAATTCTTGTTTTTATGGTGATGCCAAATTATCATCTAGAATACCAAAGTAACACTGTATTTCAACCTGCAACTACAAGAGATCTCGAAGGCTTTCATAGGTGCTGTACATGAGCTTACTTCAGTTTAGATAATTGTGTAATTTTTTTTTTTTTGCATAAAACTAATAGTTATGTTTCTTTGAAGTTCCTGAATAATTGTTTCTAAAGAATTGTTCTGGGAACCCAGGGCAGTTTTGCTAACGGCTTCTTCATTAGTAAAAAACTATTCAATAGTATACAATTAGATTAGAAAATTTACTATTTGCGCATCCCTAGTGTCAATCGGTGGTCTGCACATTGTTCTGTCGGCAGGTTGCACGGAGCGACTATTTCCGTCGTGATGGGGCAGACATTCACACAGACGCTGCCATCACGCTCTCCCAAGCAGTCCTTGGCGGCACTGTGCGAGTTCAGGGTCTCTACGATGACATCATGCTGAAGGTTTGTGTTGAGTTTATCGCCGGCTCATCCACCGAGATAGCTTAGGAGCTAAGACGCTCTGCTGCTCTTCTCAAGGATGTGGTTCTTATTCACTCCCCTGATGACTGCATTTCGATGGGTACAAAATGCTAAAATACCCATCTATATAACTTTATATGCTTGTTAATGAATCGCAGGTGGTAAGAATATGTGTCGCGCCTGTTTTTGGCAGTATGCGTGTAGTGCAAGGACAGTAATGTACATCATAAGGCCTGGCACTCATGCTTCGCGTACTCTGAATGTACTACCAATAATAAATACTAATGCCGTGCGAATAGCCAAAATTTGGATATGAAGCAAATTTGAATATTAAAGGGCCACTCACCAGGTTTGACAATTTTGAACTGACAAGCACAATGCGTACATGGGGCGTTCACGATCACGTCTGCCAAACTTCGCAACGCTATGCGTCGGGGTAATGGGTCAAATTTCAGGATGAACGCTGCTCCCCCTTCCTTTCGCGGGTGCGCGCCCAGTGAATGAAGACCTGAGGTGCACGTATGAATTGTCCTACGTACACGGCAGTGCAGTGACGTTGGTCCTCTACGTAGACGACTGCTCTGTGGCACGTGACATGGCACGTGACATGGCACGTGACATGGCAAAAATTATTTGGTACGACATATGTAGGTTATGTAATTTGTTGCTTGAAGCAATCAATAAAACTTGAGATAAATAATGAGATACGATAAGGGAATGTGCGCGTCTTTTTTCCATTTTTTTCTCCCGTAAATTGCAATGAGATATGGGGTTAATGTCCCGATGTTCTGCATGCATTCATGTCCCCATGTTCAGCGCATCGAGCAGGCAACAGCTGTGGAAGCGAAAGTAATGCTCCTGCGCGTTCGTGCACTCATTGTGCTCATCTGTTGTACCGCGTCTAAGTAAGTGTTAGTGCAGGCACTGGTCACGATGCCACCACTCTCGAGCCAGTGAAATGTCACACCGAAGCATCTATCCCGCAGAAACAGGCATTAGACCACAAAATAATGCTGGCCAACAAAACAACGCCGCTAGCGTGCTCGGGGATTCGTCTTGTTTGTGCACGTCATGCGCACGTGACCTCTTGGTCAGATGGCGGAGAATGTAGGAAAGAGATTTGGTTTGCGAATGCTACGCGGGGGAGCGGCAAGGGTTTCGAGCTCGCCTGCTGTCATCCTCGTTCCGTGCCGCTTAAAAAAAAAACAATTTTCTCAGCTCGTAATTAACAGATTAAAAATATTTTTGTGACATAATGCTCTTCATCGGACACACAACTATTTCCACAGTCTAACTAAAATTTGTTATGAGGCCTGGTGAGTGGCCCTTTGAGGCGAATCGAATCGTAAACGTTCCTGATATATCTCGGAACGTTTTTATGATACTTTGAAGCGAAATCACATTAAAAATGTTGCATAGGATTCTTACACTTATCAAGGTGCAAAAGTATTTGCCGTGCGAGTGTGGCGTCCATTTACAAAATTCCGCTCTGGTGTGGTAGAACATCATTACATGTATTAGACAGTGCAGTCAGGATGCTGTATTAACACCATACTTAAGGAACACAATTGTCTTTGAATAATGTGGCCGATTCTAATCTAGGTGCGCACTGTAGATCATGTGGGTTCCTCTGTTTTCATAAGCATTAGCGTCATCTTCAAGCATGGTCATCAGATTAACAGAGAAGTGGCAGAAGCTTATCGTATTGTTAAAGAAAAAGAAAACTGTGTAAGCCAAGCATCAATACATCTTTATGACAAAGATTATGATTTTCTGCAGGAAGTATCTTTATGAATTTTTAACGTGGACAAGATGCGGTGGCAACCCATGTCATGTGTAGCTGCTTGTTGCTTATGTGTAGCTGCTTGTTGCTTATGTGTAGCTGCTTGTTGCTTATGTGTAGCTGCTTGTTGCTTATATGTATCTGTACTGTGCAATAAACCTTCGATTGCGAGCCAGCGCTTGTTGAGTGCATCATTCCTTCATCTTTCAGTGTGCTTGTTTTATTGTGCGCTGTAAAAATTGAAATATTGCACTATCAGAGCGCTTATCAGTCTGTTTGTTCTGTGAACTGCTTACAGATCCCCACGGGAACCTCATCACACACCAAAATTCGGTTGGCAAACAAGGGAGTGAAACGGCTGAATAGCTCCGGATATGGAGATCACTATGTCCATCTAAAAATCCGAATACCACAGTTAGTTCACTTTTTGTGACTTGTGCAATGACTTTGTACACCTAAGGCATTCAACTACGTCTACAACAAGTTTAGTGTCATTAGCAATAGTTGTTATAGCAGAGGTATTATGCAAACTAATTATGAATTTAAATAATTAAATGCAGCCCACATACTGATTTGGCATTTTGTGACTGCTATTGCATTTACATGTTGTAGCATCGATTTCGCAGTAATGAATGTAATGAATTTATGTAAAGGACGGTAGTCGAGGCTCCCGAAATTGCACGAGCCATATTTTAGCGCAACACGTGGCCTGGAATTTAGAATTGATTCTCAAAGTCAGCTAAAAATGGCTTTCTCTTCTCTCAACAAATGATTCTATGTAGTATACTCAAAAACCATTGCGTCATAGGCCCAAGTATCACGCAAATGGCTGATTTCAGCATGGCGCACTCTAGAGTTGCTGGGGCAACCACGAGAGGCTGCGATGTTATCACGGTGATTGCACTGAAAAGACATCGTGCGTCTGAACAAAAAAAAAAAAAAAATAAAGGAAGATGTGCTTGTGGTCGCGAAATTCGTGTGAAGTACCTTCTTTCCCTGTGCGCTTTTTCTAGCGCTTTCGTCGGGACGAGAGAAGAGAGAAAGCTATTGCAGCGTGTGACAAATCTTGTAACTCCTGTCATGCTTTGGGACAGATTCTAAAAATTTTTTTCGTTGGTCGATTCGTGAGGTGCCTTCACTGAATCCATTCTATGGCTACTTGGAAAAGTGCTTTAGGGCCCCTTTATTGGAAAGAGAACTTCCTTTGAAAATTCGTGTCTTGCCTAAATGTTAACTAATTGAGCATGCTACATAAGTTCAGGGAGAATATTTAGTATATGGGCTGGTTAACATCTCGTGCTTTTCCTCTTCTTGTTTTCTCTCTCTCTCTTCAGTATACGAAGTGTTCAGAAAAAGTTTACTCACTGTGTACATTTTAGTCTTTTCTTTGCTGCCTTCTAGGCGACTAAATGAGAAGCAGAAAGCGCTGATTCAGGCGTATGCTGAGCTGGAGACGGACACGCCTGGCACGATCGATGGCCTAGTCAACACGAGGCAAGGTAGGGACACGCATGAATAAGGAGTTGTGCTCGTGACGTGTTATAGTTTATTCTTCGTAATCAGTAGATCTTCATCAAATGAAACCTGAATGGACCTGGAAAATATGTTTTGTTTAATGTTTGACTGGAGTTCCACTTATGGAAAAATTCAAGTATGAAACCAGTAATATGAGAAAAGGGTGCTCTATTTAAAGAGGTACTGACAAAAATTTTGGTGTGGCATTTTTCACTGCAGTATGTAAGTAGTTGGAGAGCTATTCATCATAACACGTCAGATCGCTCGCTGAAGCGCATGTTGAATAATGAATTAGTATTTGTTTACAGTAAAACCTTGTTGATGCGTATCTGCTTTAAACGTACGAACAATTAAAACATGGTTGCGACGAAACCCTGACTGAGTCCCATACAGATTAGTACATTTAGTGACCACGCCGTGTGGTTCGTTCTACGCCTACCAGTTGGGGCGAGCAGCTGCGCTCAGCGATCACTTTTTCTGCCATAAAGTTTACTGCGCCGCTGAACTTCCGATGCCGCAATGTGCTGCAAATGGTCTTTCGTAGTTTCAAAAACTGCGTAGATCAGCCGATCAATCATTCTGACTTCTGCGCGATTTCGGCGGTGCCTTTGCAGGTAATTATCTGTAGAGAACGAAGTGTGGTGGCGACCACCGACAAACGCACCGATATGACTTATCGTCGACAAAAAGCCTTATCACTGCCCTGCCGCGGTGGTCTAGTGGCTAAAGTACTCAGTTGCTGACCTGCAGGTCGTGGGATCGAATCCCAGCTGCGGCAGCTGCATTTTCGATGGAGGTAAACATGCTGTAGGCCCGTGTGCTCAGATTTGGCTGCACGCTAAAGAACCCCAGGTGGTCGATATTTCCAGAGCCCTCCACAACAGCGTCTCTCATAATCATATGCTAGTTTTGGGACATTAAACCCCACCTAAAATAATAAAGCCTTATCACACTAAGTATCCTCAGCTATTTGCTGGGGCACATGTTTGGCATAGTGCCGTGTTAAGGAGGGTATGGTAGGCTAAACTCCCCAAAAATCGAATTTGCAATTTTGACACCGAAAAATCCTCTGTACTCTGAGGAACACACCTGTGGAAGCCCAATGTCGAGCGGCTGCTCCAAGCAATTCGAACGCCGCCCTGAAGTGCGCCGCGCGCCCTCTGGCGTAAGCAGTATGCGCACAACTTCGTTTTTCTCCAATTTATTTTTATTTATTTATTTATTACAAGTACCTACATCGCCCATTGGGCATTGTTGTAGGGGGGTTACAGTAGAAAATAGAATACAAAACAGCAAAATTAAAAGCAAATAAATCGTGCATTACAGTATACAGGAGAAATCAACACTTGTAGTACAGCATTAGAACAAAAGTACAAAACACAGGATTATACAACGAAAGCAGTAATTATACATATAAAAAAATCAACAACCAAGAGAAGTACAAAGCCAACGTTAAATATTGGTTATTTCAGCAGCTCAAAATGCTGTTTCGATGGCTGTTAGGAAATTAGAATCAGAGAATATTGGTATTTTTAGCGCATTATAGTCACTAATAGAATTTGGAAAGAAAGAGTATTTAAGGACATTCAATCGACAGGTATATTCTCTAATTTTATATAAGTGATCTTTCCGTTCGGACATATAACTAGGCGTCTTTAAATACCGCTCTTTATTTAGCCCAGTCTTACCGTGATATATATTATAGAGAAATTTAAGTCTTTGAACTTTTCGTCGTCCACAAAGGGGTTCCCATTTCAAGGCCTGAAGAATTCCAGAAGACCTTATTCTAAAATCGTAGTTTCCTGTAACAAACCTAGCAGCCCTTTTTTGCACCCTCTCCAACTTTTCTTTTAGTACATTCGTGAAAGGGTCCCGAGAAACACAAGCATACTCTAAAATTGGGCGCACATTTGTAATATTCAATTTTTCAACTTTAATGTACCTTTTCTCAAAAAAGTATTGAATCGATTTTGGTGAAACATTGTGTGCGTGAGCTGCGACAAGTGAGGAACAATCTGAACTAAAAAAAAATTGCCGGTTTCATAAAGAATGACGCTGTAAAAAAATGACACAACAATGCACACCCTCCGTGATGTTGTGCAAGCAGTATTTTTATTTTTTTTACAAAAGCTTCATGAAAAATGTAATATTTTTTTTTAGTTCACATGTAACTTGTGAGTCTCTTCAACAACACAGCTGAATATGGTTACATTCCTTTGGGTAGTTACAGAGAAAAGGTACATTGAATAAGTGAACCCCCTTCAAAAATTTGGGGGGCGTGGGCCATAGGTAGCATAAGCAACCTAGGCATACAAAAAGGGTGTCACTGGATATCTATTGGCATTCTTTGTCAGCACGTAAAATTTCATGTGAATATTTGCAGCCGTTTCTAAGATATTACGCTAAAACTGACATAAGTCGACGACCAATATTTTGGACGCACAATTTTTCGAACATGCTTGATAATTCGGACATTTATCCATTACCGGGACATACCCTATAAATTCAATATACTTCACAGCTCAAAATTTTGGACACTTAGGGACGGGCTGTTCGATGTTTCGGACTTGCCAAGCGTCAGTCGAGCCGACTACCAGCATGTTTCTGTGCCGCCATTTTGTTTGTTCACGTTTTCCTCCGTTAGCCTCGAACCGGTGCTGGCTTGTGCACGGCCGATACCTCTGCTTGCCTCCACTAGGCGCGCTAGGATGGAGAAACTTAGCAGAATGAGCATGATTTATAAAGGAAAGGGGGACAAAGCTCACAAAAACAACTATTGTCCTATAACAGTGACATCAGTAGTTTACAGGCTGGCGCTGCAGATTATAAAGGAAAGACTGCAGGCATAGATAGAGGATGAGCGGGTGCTGGGGGAACTGCAAAATGGGTTTTGGAAACAAAGGAAGTTGGAAGACAGTCTATTCTGACGCAGTGCATCGAAATAGCAGAAAAGGAACACAGGCCCCAGTGGCTAGCATTTTTGGATATCAAGGGAGCGAAAGATAGCGTGGTTGAAGAAGACTTGTGGGGAATAGTGGACACACTAGGTGGGGAAGATGGAGTCACTAATCTTTTTAAAGATATCTATAAAAGTAACAAGGTTATTATAAAATGGGAAAAACAGGTATCCGAGCCCAGAGAGATAAAACGGGGGCTTAGGCAGGAATGTCCGCTGTCACCCTTGTTATTCATGATGTACGTACAAAGAATAGAGCAAATTAGAGATTGATAGACACCTGCAGTAATGAGAGAGATAAGTTACATTTGAGATTCAGTGAGGAAAAATCAACAGTCATGATTTTTATTTGATAATGAACGTAGTGAGCTTACGATACAGGAGGTCACGTTAGAAATTATGGATAAATACAAATATCTGGCCGTATAGATAAGTGATTGGACCGAGTTCTTAAAAAATGAAATATACATAACGACTACAGGAAACAGGAATGCAGTGGGATGAAAAATATGGCAATGTGGAATTAAAATAGGTATGATGTTGTGCGAGGAATTTCGAAAGGTGTCATGGTTTCTGATCAGACCTTTGGCAACACGGTCTTGTGCATAAGATCAGCGGTTCAAGCAAGATTAGAAATTAAGCAACAAGGAATAGGTAGACTTGCTTTAGGAGCTCATGGGAATAGACCAAATCAGGGAGTACAAAAGGATATGGGGTGGACATCATTCAAGGGCAGGGAAGCTAGCAGCAAAATAAAAGTTGAGGAGCGATTGAGAGAAATGGGGAGGAACGTTAGGATAGGAAGGTTTTCAGCTATCTGTACATGATGAATGTCTATACAAAATTGAGGAAGCAAACCAGGAAATTGACGGGTAAATACTTGGAAAACAGAAGGGGGCACACCAAAAAGAATTCTCAGTTAAGACGAAGGTGAAAGAAACGGAGACCGACATGTGGAGAATAGGCATGATTAAGAAGTCGGTACTAGAGATCTATTGAACTTTCAAGCATGAAATTGCCGAGGAAACAATCTATGATAATACACGTGGTAATTCTCTCCTGTTTGAGGCCAGGACGGGAATATTGCGAATAAAGACTTGTCGGGCCAAATACGAAGGGGTAGACACGGTATGCAGTGTGTGTGGAGAGGAGGAAGAAACTGCTGAACACTTGATAATGTTCTATAAAGGGATTCACCCTATTGTTTAGGATGATGGCGCGCATTTTTTCAAAGCACTGGGGTTTAAGGACAGGGAGGGCAAAATAGACTTTAAGCAGGGTAAAAATAACTAGAAGGTTGTCCGATTGGTGGCTACAATCAAGGCACGAGTGAAAATCATATCCTTCACTGCAAATTGCCAGTGCCGAGCTTCACCGTTAAAAAAAAAAAAAGATAAATCCAGTTTCTGTTCATTAAGTATTACGGCTAGGTGGCGTTAGTCGCTGCCCTATAGAAAGGGCTCAGCCATATCAATCCATCCATCCATCGAACGTCTCGAACTGCTTGATCGAGGCTATTTTGGTATCAGCGTCGCTGCCGAACAATTTTTTTTCTTCTCTGCTGTGACTGTTGAACGGATCGGACCGCCTCGAGTGACTGTCCGCCTATGCGTGTGCTATGTGTTCCTTGTGTGTCGCCTAGTTAAATGCAGTGATTCGTAATAGATAACAGATCTTCAATGTTATCGTTGGCCTCGAGAGCTCCGATAAAGCGGGGAAAGTACGTCACCATGTCGATGGCGGAGAAAGCTGCCATCGTCAAGCTTTTTGAAAGTGGCCGATCGCGGCAGATGTTGCGAAAGAGTTCCAGCTTTCCAAACAGACTCTTTCGGACTACACGAAAAACAAGCAGAAGATTTTGGAGGCAGCGGAAAAGTCTACTGGATGTCGCGAGAAAAATGTAAGCCAAGGCACTTACCCAAAGATTGAGGAGGCCCTTATATGGCTGAAGTCAACAGTGGCAAGCAAGGCTCTTGTCTTCTAGGGCCTTCTCAAACAGAAAGCTGCCTGATGGCGCTTCAAATGAACATTGAAGGATTCAAGGTCAGTGATGGCTGGCTAAAGAGCTTCAAGAAGCACTTTGATCTCAGTTTTACAAAACTGTGCAGTGAAAGTGCAGCTGTTGACCTTAGCGCCATTGCGAACTACCGCTCTGGAAAGCTGCAGTCCTTTTTACAGGAGTACTCATCAGACGACACGTTCAACTGTGAGGAGACCGGACTTTTTTTTAAGCTGATGCCAGAAAAGACTTTTGCCTTTGGTGGCGAGCCTTGCCATGGTGGCAAACACAGTAAGGAGCGAGTTACTGTTCTAATCGGTAGCAATATGTCGGGCACAGAAAAACTGCCGATTCTCATCATCGGCTAGTCGAAAGCTCCGAGGTGCTTTAAAGGTGTGAAGTCGCTGCCTGTTTTGTACGAGGCCAACAAAAATGCCTGGGTAACTCGGAAGATTTTCGAAACTATAAGAGAAGACTCGATCGCAAGTTTGATCTAGAAGGCCGCAAAATTTTGTTGTTTGTGGACAACTGCGCTGCACATGGGCACATTAGCAAGTTCAAGGCTGTGCGCATCGAGTTCTTGCCACTTAACAGTACAAGTGTCCTACAACCGACAGACCAGGGTGTCATAAGCAATCTCAAAGTAAACTATTGGTCACGCTTGCTTTCGCGTGCGGTGGTGTGCCTCGACAGGAGAAAAGCGTACTCTGTCGATTTGCTTGAAGCACTTGGCGTGCTCACTGATGTGTGGAAATCCATGGCATCGACAACGCTGCGCAACTGTTTCTGCCACGCAGGATTTGTATTGAATGGCGAGCCGGCCGCATTAGATGAAGGACAGCGTCGTCGACCAGGTGTCCGGAAGCGAGGTGCTCATCGACGACCTTCGCACTGCAGGCGTCGAGATTCCCCCAAATGTCTCGTTTTCCAAGTTTGTGTGTGTGGACAGGGATTTAGAACTTGCGCTGGCCTCACGGATGAGGAAATCATTCGTCAAGTGCCAGCAGAGTCGGGGAGCGACGATGACGACGACTTACCTGCAACAGCTCAGCCGGTGCAAGCTGAGCTGATGCAAGTGATCGCAACCCTTTCATCAGCTTACAGCGACACGGCAACTCTAGCCGAAATGCGGGCAAACGTGCTCGCACAGAAGCGAAGCATGGTCGAGAAGACGATCAGTCACTTTTTTCATCCTCTGTCTGAATAGTAAGCAATAAACTGAGCATTTTGGGGGCACATTTGCTTTTTCGGACGGCCCAATATTTTGGACATTTTCGCGGTCCCTTGAGGGTCCAGAAAATCGGTCGTCAACTGTATACCAGTTACCCTACCATACCCCCTTAAGCTTACTGCATGCTTTTAATACTAAGTATCCTCGGCTATCCGCTGGGACACTTGTGTGGTGTAGCGCTACTTTAAGCTTACTGCATGCTTTTAATAGGAAACTACCTGAGTGCATTGAACTGCCTATCGCTGCAGCCTCTGTGTGGAACCATAATCATGCATGCACTGCATCTGCAGAAGCGAAAGCAGCTCGCTATTGTGGAGTTGAGCGTCGCGGGTCACGGGCACTAAGAAACTCCGCTGTTTTAACGGTATTGTGCTAAGCCCACGCATGCGGCACAATAAACGTAGTCCTGTTGTAACCGTATTGCAAGCTTTTAATTAGGCTACAACCCTAACGCACCTCCGTCCGCGGTCTTACCGTTATAGCATTGTAGAGTGCGCATTGCTTTCAAGGGGCTCGTCATCGCTGCATTAACCGAACAGGCTACTCAGCGCATATGTGGATTCTGAATTGAAGTGGACGTATTGTACAGCTAGCGGCTCACCAATCACAGCACGTGTCGAGTAGGCAAAGTGCTGCACGCAACTAGCCAGTAGACGATCGGCTGCCTGCAACCCTACCATGGTGGAAAAAAAAAAAAAAGGAAGAAAAAAGTTAATTTTCGCTAAGTGTGCAGATCGTGGTATGCATGTACTATGTACGGACAGCCTATTATATGTCCTTTCTGCTGCTGTGTCAGTCGCTGTGTATCCTGGGCACGCATTCCAGGCATCTCTATATAGTTTCGAAATGTTCCTTGCACCGCGTCTTATCAGACTGTCGTGCGAGGACCTTTTCTGCACTTTGGTAAAAAGAGAGGAAGAGCTCTGTGGTGGTCACCGTAGGCAATTTGCGGGGCCACTGTCCTTATTCTATTGTTGGCGGCGATGACGCGCATCAGACAATGCGAATTTGTGCTTGCTGGTTAATGCGTACTACAATTAGTGTGTAGTTATTCTGGGTTTCCTGGCAGGTATGTATTAACAAGGTTTCACTGTATTACTAACTAGTCTCACTTTCATGTTAAGAGAGCTCCAAGAACGACAAGCCATCATGTGCAACTAACGCTATCTAGCGTGTGAAAAGCACGCAGAACTGTAATGCACTTCCACGCTGCCTGCATAGTCTGCTTGTGTTCTTTCTCATGTGGCATGTGCAGCGTGAGGTTGTTACAGTTATCATCGTCATTGTGACATGATCAGTGATGGCAAAGACGTCGTTGAGGCTTCCACGTGTTCACCGCAGACATGGACTTGCGACCAGCCGCTGAATGGTAGTCTGCTGTGCAAGCAAGGCAAAAGTGCATTGGTGACTGCACGAACATCATTTAGCTGAGCATCTGGAGCTTTCCAAAGTGATGATGTAGCGGAAGTTTGGGGTAACGGTTAGGTCACTTTGTATTTCAATGTCACGAGGTGCAGTTATAAGTGCTGGATCGGAAACAAGTTCAAAATTCATATAGATTGCGTGTGCTGTTCAGATTTGGTGGATATATGCATGTTCACGAGGATCATTCCTGCGGACTATGTCAGCCATGAAATTTTGTCAGTGCCTCTTTGAGTAGCAAAAAAGGTTTATTAATAGGAGATTTCCATTCATTTATTTATTTATTTGTATTTCAATACTGCAGCCCTATACAGGGCTGTTGCAGGAGGGGGGTAGATTTACATGAACAAATACACTGATTACAAAAGTCTACAGTATGTCGGGTGCTAGCAGTAGGTGGTGACTTCAGGAGAAATGTGCCCAGCGACTCTTGCTGGAGAACTTTGAAAAGTCTCAAAGTTTGAGTTTCATAATTTTACATCTTCAGTTTGAGATTTCAGCACAACCTAATTATCGAAGAGTACAAAAAGGAAAGCTTTTTTTTTTCTTGATACAGTCGCCCGTTTATAAAAGGCACTGATATAAGAGACAAATGGTTATAAGAAGCACCAGTGTGCCTACAGTGAAATATGGGTCGATGAGAAAATCCATGCGAGGTACGCTGCATGTAAGAGGCATCTCGTATAAATGACAAGAATTGCTGCCCGGAGCATGCCTCTTGTAAAGGGGTTTAACTGTAACTCATAACTGCTGCAGTTTTCAAATCCAGTTCCAATAATGTATTTTTGGGAAGCAGTCGGTATTCATGGCAGGCATTTAAATAAAAAAACACTGTTTCTCCTGCGGAACATAGAAAGGCTTAATTTCATTGCATTAACTTGTGCAGGCACTCGCTTCAAAATTTTGTTTTACAATGAGTATTCATGTGTGAGCCTGCTATGCATGCGGTGCTTTCTGAAACCTGTGACTTCTACATGGGAGATGAGCATTTTACCATGAAGCTGATTCGGCAGCCTACTGAAGCGCTGTGCAGATAGGTGTGGCTGGGACGCTGTCTTTAAAATTCCTACGTCCCTCGAGATGCGTTCTCCACGCCAGGGATTTTGAAGGCCTGTGCACAGCTTGGTGAGAGTCTCGTCACTTGCTAGTTGTCTCAGAAATACAAACAAGTGAGAATTAGAGATGCATGAAAAAGAGCGTAGTGGGTTAGCATAGAGATAAATAAGCTCGACAGGAAAGAAATTCCAGTGTAAATAAAAACAAAAAAATTTTTGGGGACCAATTGCTGTGGTGATGTCATGCTTTTCGGGACCCTCACAGAAGGATGCATGTTTGTTATATCTGACCTAACCGTAGATGGCGCATTGTGAAGGGTTCTGAAGAGAAATACTCATGATTACCTCGATTTTAGTGATGACTTCTAAAATTTGAATAGGTAGTAGCATTAAATCAAAACACAGTGAGAGAAGTGAGTGGAGGTGTCGCTTACTGTCTAAGGCACCTTCTATGCAGCCTCCTTTCCAACCCTCAGTTTTTATAATTTTTTGCAGCATTCTGCTTTTTCAAGTTCATTATCACTGATTTTCATTGACTTTTCCTTTGCCCGCCATGCTCTCTCGGTTTATGCATGTTGCAGTCCGTAGTCTGTAAACTGCAAAGCCGCTTTTCACTATTCGGGCTAATGCCAAAATCGTATAGATTTATTTATGTACTCTAGGCATGACCTCAGTGTTCAAGCACATCATTATGCGATATATATAATATTGAACTTGTATGGCCTGAAGTGAGACATTTGTAATTATGTCAACCTTTGGTCACAAATAATTTTTAACAGGTTACGAAGATGATAATTTATTAGCTTGGGCTGGTTTATATTCGGGTAAATTTCATCTCCCAATATTGTACCCTTGTCTCAATCTTGTGAGGCATAGCTGCCACAAATCGCAGTGTAACTATAAACATTTTTTAAGTCAACTAATTTACAGAAAGCTTGTTGAAAATGCTGCAGTCTGCCATAATGCTGTTCGGTTCCCATTAGGACTTTGTCCAGCAGTGTTTCGAAAGAACCTGCAACTTATGTTACGTGCCATTTCTAAAATCTTTTTGTACTAACTGAAATTTGAGACTTTGTCCTCAGATTATTAGGGCCTCCCGTGTTTTAGCCAGCATGCATAGCTAACAATTCTTTTAATGTGTTGTCCCCTGAGAGACGTATTTAGGCTTTATCACAACCTGTTAGCTTCATCTTTTGTTAACACTGGCATCAATAAATGAACATGTTAATCATTGCCTGACTTGGGTGTTCAGTTGTCTCTCTTTAATGAGATATTGGTTTTGTGTGTGCTGATATGGAACAGTGGAAGCAAGAACCAAGCTCCATCATTGAATAAGGTTTGATTTGAAATGAGGTGTGAAAATTTACGCACCAGGCATTTTTTACACATGCATGGCTCTCAGCCATTTTGTTGTTCACTCTAGACAAAAATAGAAAACTGCAAAGCTCACGCAAACAAAAGTGAGCATGAAAGAAAACTCAATGTTGAAGCTTATATCTTGCCATCCTAATGAATCGGCTTTACAGCATGGCGAAAATTTCTAAGCTCCTTTTTCGATAACTGAGTCGAAGTTGCATTGACATTGAAGTCACCTAGCCAAAGTCATTTAAGCTGCTTTGATAATCTTTGTTTAGCTTATAAACCTCATTTGCAGTGCTTTGGTAGGATATGTTGCTAGGCCTTGCATGTTATAATATCATAAGCAAGCTAATTATGCCTGTACTACTAATTGTCAGTTTGCATTGTACCATTTGGTAGACCAAAGCCATTTGGTGTGGTTGAACCTCGCATATTCTGTATTCTGGCATACATATATATCTTTTTCTCTACGCTGCTTGTTAGATGCTGCAATGTATTAGAATATTTACTCTGCCTTGCTACTAGTTTCTTTGAAGACCATTGAAAGAACATTGTTCCTTTTTATTCTTGTTAATTGCACTTATAACAGCTTTTGCAACCTCAATACAGTTTGACTTCGACTGTGTGAAACTCTGGCCAAGATTGAAAATAACTGCGTTTCTTTTTCAAGCCTCAAAAAGCCTAATTGTTTGCTATATGACCTGGTTTGTGTAATTGCTTGTTTATCACATTTTATGTACAAAACTGCTGAACAGACTCACATACGTGCTCACACATTCGTGGCTTAGATTGTGCCTATGTCCACCAACTCTATCGCCGTCTATTTGTACATACTACCTGTGACTGCAAGTGTTTTGTAGCTCGCTGGGCTCCAAAATGCTTCTTGCCACTGGAACCTACTTGCCCAGAAACCTAACTTTAAATGAAATTTTATCTACTCCTACAAGCATTCTGTAAATGCTTCCTTGTATTTTGCAAGGCAGCATTGAGCATTTTGAAGCCTTATTTCAATTACTGCTGAACCCCCTCTATAAGACAATGGTTTAAAACACAACTGGTTATAAGAGTCACAATTGTGCATCAATATAGGGGTTGATCAGAACATAAGGGCATGGTGTCCTGCTTGTAAGAGACACCTCTTAAAATGGAGAACTACTCCATGGCTGTGTCTCTCTTGTAGAGACATTCAGCTGTAATTGAAATAAGTTTTGACAGTATATAGTGTGTAATACTAAAACTGAGTGTATAGCACCTTCCTCTGGCTGCTTGAAGTATTGAGTGGCGAGTAGGGACTGATTGGTCCAGTGCTGCAACTGCTGTTCTAAGTTGGTTTTTCACTGCTTCACTGAACAAAGTACTATAAAACGGTCATATGAATGGGCTCTAGCTCTTAGTAACAAAGTTGGGCATTCTTCAGCCATAAGACATGACCATGAACAAGACACACAGGATGTGCGTATTCTTGCAATAGGCGTGGTTTCTTAGCTGTTACAGAGGTCTCTGTGGTTAGCTGAAAACAAGCGTGCGAGTATATACTGATAATCGAGAAAGTATTGTGCTGGACGTATTGCACTGACAAAGCAAGTGTGCAGGTGCTCTGCTATGAAGTGGTGCTTCGTCAAACTGCAGAAGTACTGCTAATTCCTCACAAGTATTGATGCAAGAGCCGTACCCAGGATTTCTATACCCTCATTTCATTTTGTTGTGCTTCAGCCTAAAAGTGGTTTTCAGTCATAGATGCTTCTGCAGGACCCCTTGTGGGCTATTGGAAGGAATAGACCGCTTGGTGTCAGGTAAAAGGGGGTAGGGGTCATAAATTGACATGCAGCGTGAAACAGATTAATTTTATTTCTCTCTGGCAAGGAATGGCCCAGCCAAAGTACCACGTCAGTTTAATCTCGGTGGCATGTCAGTACGTCGTGCGGTCTGCAGCCGCATTCAACCTGTATTTAGCTTTGTTTTCTCTTCAAATATGCAAGCATAGGAAAGGTATGCTCGCGTGCCTATGTCGCAAAAAAAAAAAAAAAACTGCAACGAATGCTAACAGAGAAGGAGAAACAGAAGTCAGCTCCGCCGCAATGCAAGAGTGTCATGCGGTGACTCATGTTGAATTCGCTGGTGGCCACTGTCACGGGATCCCACGTAGTGTACCTCCAAACAAAACAAAAAGTTTTTTTTCTTTTTTTAAAGCATGCGTTTCGTGAACTCCATTTGTCAACCACTGGACTACGGTTTGCAGATGAACATAGAGTTTGGTGACCCTGGAGATCTGCGGCATCTTGTGTTGATGAAATTCATGGCCGAGCGACTGTTCCTTTTCCTTTTTTTTTTTTTTTAGCAATGGTGCTCTGCGTTTTGAGTGTGTGGCTATCCTGCAGCAACAACAAAGAAAGTCGAAAATAAAAGCGATGTTTAGGCAAATTGGGTGTGCTGGAACGCATGTTGCAGCAGCGTTAGTGCGCTTGTCATGGAGGAACGAATAAACTCCTCCTTGACGTTTGTTCAGAGCTATGGTTCAGAAACTTAAACAACAACAATATTTTTATTAGCAATATTGCGCTAGCATAATTGTGCGTTATAAAAACAAATTTAAACACTATAATAAAAATTTTAAGCATCTTGTTTTTGGTAAATAACTTGCAGAAAACTTATTGATGTGTACGATACTAACGCAATACTTGCTTAAGGATACCTGACTAAATTAACAAGGCTACACTGGTTTTAGCGCGATATTGAAGCGAGTTTGGCGTTGCAGCAAATTCAAATTCTCGTTGTTTGTTTTCGAACGACGGAGGGCCAGTTAGATCCAAAGACGGCGCCTCGGTGAGTCATTAGCATTGGTAGTTGCTGTTCTTCTTGCCACACCCCATTGACCTGTTAAACGCTGTGCACCGTAACGGAAAGAAGACAGGTGTGGGGACACCTTCGCATGACGGCAGTTACTTAGAAGTGTGGCAGCTTGGGCTAGTTGGTATGACATGACGATAGTTATAGCGCGAGAACAAAACGACGACACATCTTTCGTGTCCTTCTTGTCTCTGTGTCGTCGTTTTGTTCTCGCGCTATGTCTCTGTGTCGTCGTTTTGTTCTCGCGCTATGTCTCTGTGTCGTCGTTTTGTTCTCGCGCTATAACTATCGTCAGGCAGTTACTGGCGCACTCGCGAGCATTCAGACTAATCTGTGTGGGCTGAACGTCAAAATACGGAAACTCAAGTTGGATGCAGCCAGCATGCCTTGGTTTTGTCGGTTGCATTTCCGGCTTGCTGCGCAGCGCATGCGAAATTTCCTTGGTGCGGACACTTCTTCTTTTAATACGGTGGCGCTGCCCCACAATCGAAGAACGATTACTGTTAACATCGTTTGATTTGTGGGGTTTAACGTCCCAAAACCACCATATGAGAGACGCCGTAGTGGAGGGCTCCGGAAATTTCGACCACCTGGGGTTCTTTAACGTGCGCCCAAATCTGAGCTCACGGGCCTACAACATTTCCGCCTCCATCGGAAATGCAGCCGCCGCAGCCGGGATTTGAACCCGCGACCTGCGGGTCAGCAGCCGAGTACCTTAGCCACTAGACCACCGCGGCGGGGCTACTGTTAACATCGTGTCTTTACGCCAAGTTACATGAATGATGTAAAACTGTGGCTGTAATGGGCCGTGCTGAAACACGAAGTCGTGTACTGGAATCGTCATTGAGTGGAATAGGCATAGAAAATTGAGTTCACGCGGTGCTAGGCAAATGAACTGCGCTGTAGTTGGGTTTCACAAGTGGGCCGTAGTTGGAACGGTGCTTGAACTCTGTCCTCTTGGCCCGCCTTAAACACATTTCGATTTACTTAACGCTGTAGGTTGGCGCGAACGCGGTAAGAGTTATGTGCGTAGGAATGCTTTACATTGTAAACCGCCATGAAAAAGAAATGGGCTTGGAAGTTCCAGAAACAGGCGCTTGAACTTAATAGATTATGAAATATTTTGGTAAACACCGCATCGAAAGGAGTGCATGATGCTGCATTGTGTATTTGAGCAGTTTTCAATGTTTGTTTGCTGATTTAGTGTCATTGTAGGTCTCTTTTCAGTAGCGTTTTGCATGACACACCATGTACAGTCATGCTCTGCGACGAGTTTCATCAGGCTCTAGACTAGAGCACCTTTTCAGTTGCTCTAGAGCATTAAAAGTCTGCTATATTGATATCTGTTCATATGAGAAATTGGTATGGCTTTTGGTACCGTGTCCCTGGTGGCTGTTACCATGACACACATTGTTCGCTCTGTTGCATTATAGTGTGAGTAGTGTGAGGGTTCTATGCAGCAATGTAGATGCCTGTACTTTCTCCTCAAGTGCTAGGATGGCTGCTTTGGAGCAAGCCACATCCGAAGAGGGCAACCTCCAGCCAGCTGGTTCTGCCTACAGTGATGTTCCCTGTGACGAGAGTGTGCTTGGTGGTTCAGCCGCGATGCCAAGTTCATCAAAAGACACCGACAGTGGTGATGAAGAAAAGAAGAATGATGAGCCTCAAGCAATGAAAGAGCTGGATTCAGTTACGTTGGCTGCGCACACAACAGAACAGGTACTATTTTAAAAATGTGGAGTCATCATGTTTATAGATTATTGTTTATAGATTATAAAAAAAACAACTGTTGGTCTCTTCCCAATGTTTGCTATGCACTGTTTGCTAAAGCAACATGAATTGAGCTGTGAGAATGCAAAGCGGTAAGAATAAATAACTTTTACATGTGGATTGCATTGCTTGAATTGATGTGATTGAAGGATTCGCCTGGTAATATGGTGTGCATACATATATCTTACATTATTTATCAGAGAGGCCGTGAGTTAAAGGAGTTTCGTCTGCTGTTGGCTAAAAGTGCACGTTTTATGTTTGCGGTGTCTTCTCTTTACAAAAATATGTGCTGACTGGCACTTGTCAGCATTATTTTTCTGGGCTCATCCAAAATTTTTGTTATTTTATTTTCTGCAATTTGAAACTTTTTCCTGATTTGAGCAATAGCCTTAACGAATCTTTATGGGAATGAAAGTCCTGTATAATACCAGAACACTGTTGTTGCACAAACTTGTAGCTTCTTTAAACATGCAGGAAAGCAGCAAGCGTGCAGTCATAAGAAGCTCATTCAAGCTGGTCATACGTTGAACTTGCTCAAATTTATTGCGGAGCATACAGGAGCTGACAGTGAAACATTGTTATTACATAAGTCAGAGTAAGCATAATAACATAAGTGTAAAAAAAACAGCAAGTTATGTTTACGTGGCAGATTATGAGCTTTCCGTTGTTCAGCCTGCATGATATCTTCACGACCTTTTACAAAGTGATGAAATTTGCATTAGTTTGTTGTCACTGTGTGATAAAACTTCACGGGAATATGAAGCTTTTTTGGAAACATTCGTGCCCTAAATTTGTTTCACTTTGTGTCAGTCTCAGCATTTTTAAATGGCTTTGGTTTCGTAAGCTCAAGTACACCGTTGAAAATAGACTGAGGGTGGGGGAAGTAGTCTTGGTGGTGGGGACTGGGATGAGAGGAAGAGAACAACGAAGTGAGATTCGGAGGTAACCCTTCGCTCAGTAAAGACGTGGCTAGAGCCATGACCACGGGTCCTCGTTATTATCGTACACAATGCACCTGTAAATGATAAGCGCTCAAAACTCGGGGCTTTCATATTTCTAGGTGTCCCACCGCGCAGAACTCTGCGACGAAGCTGAGCTCGAGGTGCTTCTTTGCTTACTTGAGCAGCGGCTGTCTGCTCCCGCGGTTCCTTCTACAGACGAGCAGAACCAGCAGCTCTGGGAAAAGCTACGCTCTCTTGTACCCGAGTATAAAGGTCACATGAAACTTATGAGGCAACAAATCACAGACGTAAGAAACTACTTGGAATATAATAATTGAAATAATGTGGTTGTTTAACTCTTTTTCTTTTCCAGTTATTGCTATTCAAATCCGGAATGCTTGACAAGGAATGTGCAACATGTGAAAAAACAAATACCAATACAAGACTGACAAATTAGAAGGCTAGCGACTATGATTATATAATTAATGGGAGCTTAGTGCTGTAGTTAATCGGAGGGATTCATGCCCACTCGAAATGGTACCAATCTCTCAAGAAATTGTTGAAGATTATTAATGTGTTGATAACAGTAAGCCCAATGACCGGCTATGTTGTATAATTTTCACCGTGAGAGCGTTGAAAAGCTCATTTCACAGAAATTCTAGCGTCGGCATCGGCGTCGCTGGTTGCGAGTGAAAAATCGTGATTTTGTGCGTGACCGAAAAATCGAGAAAGATGGAAATAAATAAAACAAAATTCTGGGTCTGAGAAAGAAAAGAACCCAGGCGTTTGTGTGGCAAGCAAGTGTTCTACTCCAGAGCCACGCGACTGCTTAGAAATACAGTGAAAATAACTTCCTCTGCTTGAAATGCATTGAAAGTAACTTGCATGCTCTACCAACAAATGCGTCCTATATACACGTTTCACAATACGACATGTAATATCACAGTAATAATGCGTGGTGCAAGGGTACTGCACATTGCGATCGGGCGTTGGAACATGCGATTATAATTCTTGGTTCAAAGGGGGCCACCCACTACAAAAGGCACACATGTTACTGCGCCTTTTCCCTTAAGGCCACTTAGTGGGTGCATAGCAAGTTCAAAAAAATTTCACGCGCACAATTGCCTGTGGTTTAAAGCATGCTACCCATTGCACAGAATGTAGCTGTATGTGAAAGCTTCGCTGACACAAGTCATTTCGAACTTGGTTCGAACTAGGGACAGAGTACCGCTATCACGTCAAACTCTTAAAGGCAAAGCTTAAGGATCCTCCAATTTTTCAAGATGCCACTCGAGCATTGTATTTTTGGTTATTGTGAACTGTTGTAAAGTAACTGAGTAGGTTCTGTTCCTGCTTTATCTTAAAACTGCCAGATTAAGTGGGAAGGCTTGTTAACTACCACCTTGGCATAACTGGCACATACATGTATAATTATAATCATCTTAATAATTATGAACATTGCAAATGTGCATGATTATTAGAGGCTTACGACTTGCAAGATGCTCTAATAAGAGCTTGTGACATCTTTCTTGCTGACAGTTTAGCCTGCCTTTCTTGTAGCTTGAGGAGCTCCTTGAGGATAACCAGCGGGAGTCACTTCACTGGCGAGAACACCACATGGAAGAGCACAGGAAAAGGTATATTTAGTGCAAATTACCCCATTAATTTGATTTCTTTGTCAGAGAAGAGGAATTTCTTGTTGCAACAGCAAAGAAGGTGTATTACATAATTTATACTTGAATGTTTTAATTGTTTATATTACAGTTGTCTTACTATACATAGAACAGGACCAGAGAAAGGAAAGGATCAGAGCCAGCTGGCAATCTCAGTGCGGAACAGCATCATGGCTGCCTGTTTTAAAAGGAAAATGTACGCAGAAAACGAGTAGAATAGGGCTTCAGAGTAGTGGTGTGCAATCACTATGCACTTCCAATCTTCCAAAAACACAGCCTTGAGTTAAAAAATATGATATAAAAATGTTTTATGGCAGCATATTGGGCAAGTTGATGGCCATTGCAGATAGAGCATAGTACAACCAAAGGAAGCGCCTGTTCCATCTTTCCCTTTCTTTTCTTGTACTGTGTTCTGTGTACGCTAGTCATCATGAGTGAATAGTGTTTATTGGGACAGCCACGCCTTCAAGGCAAAATTTTGATGCCTTCATCATCTTCTCATAATTCTGTTCATTAGCCACAGCATGTCAAACCTGTGTTTCTTTTGCAATTTTTTTTCCTGTATCTTAGAAGATATAAGGCATTCAGTGTCATACTTAAGAGGAAAAGTTTGTTTGAACACCACTATAAAGCAGGCAGCGCTGTGGATTCTTTGCGCATGCCTGTAGTGCCATGCTACCTTCTCGTCTTTGATTCAACAAAACAAATAGATAAGAACGGTAATGATACCAGGAAAACCTGGCATTTAATAAAAAAATTCAACAGCAGCGAGACCACATGCTTATCAAAAATAACGGTTGATGGACGTTCCCTTACCGAGCCACTTGATATCGCTAATGCTTTCAGTGATACTTTCGCATCAAATTCCCCCGATCCACTAGTTGACCTTCATTTTCCCATTCTATCTCGTTCACCTCAGTCTTTTTACTTACGTCCTACATCTGCAGACGAAGTCTTTCAAATCATGTCATCTCTTAAAACCAAAGGGCCAGGCTTAGATTCCATTCACCCGTCTAAGATAAAGCTTGTGGCACGTGATGTGTCTCCTATTTTAGCTGAAATAATTAACAAATTGTTCAAAGCAGATGCATTTCCTGATGCTTTAAAGGTAGGAAAGATAACACCTGTTTTCAAAAAGGGCGATCGTTTGTCAACTAATAATTACCGTCCGATTTGTGTACTTTCTTTCTTTAGCAAAGTAATCTAAAAGCTTTTTTACTTGCGTTTGATGTGCTATCTGCTCAAATTTAACCTACTCTCTCCCCACCAATTTGGTTTTCGACCTGGCTACTCGACAGAGATCGCCTTGCTCAGCTTTACTTACCGAATTAAACAAGCCATAGACGATGGATTACTTACTGGGGCAGTTTTTATTGACCTCACGAAGGCTTTCGACACAATTAACCACCGGATCCTTCTGTGTAAACTTGAATCTTTTCGGAATTCTGGGTCCCGCTTTGCAGTTCATTCGCAATTACTTAACAAATCGCTCACAGGTAGTTTATGTCAATAACATTGCGTCATCTGCTAAGCCAGTTACCATGGGTGTCCCTCAAGGTTCAATCTTAGGCCCCCTTCTCTTCCTACTTTTTATTAACGACCTACCTAGTTCCCTTAACCATACTAACTGTCTTCTTTACGCCGATGACACTACTATTTTTACATCCCAGAAAACAACTGCTGAACTTGAAAGTAGCTTAAACTCCGATCTCTGTAATATTTATCGATGGTGTGTTAACAATCATCTTTATATGAATCCCTCTAAAACTACATTTGTGGTGTTTTCATCCGCACAGAACACATTTCCCTCACCAGTTTCCGTATCTCTTAACAACTATATTATTTCCGTATCGTATCATGTGAAGTTCTTAGGCGTAATACTAGACAAGCATTTGAAATATAACTATCATGTACTCTCAATATTAAAAAAAGCTTCTTTTGGCATTCATGTTCTCATTAAAGCCCGCCCTTATTTTCAGTCACGCATTATTTTATCATTATACTATGCATATATTCATAGCCATCTTTCCTATTGCATTTCATCCTGGGGTAATACATATGCCAGTCATCTGGAGCCCCTTCTACATCTTCAGAAACGGGCACTACGTCTGATCGCCTTCGCTCCATTTCAATCACCTTCTACGCCACTCTTTATTTATTTTTCCGTGCTTCCAATTAATCTTTTATTTACTCTAAAGTTAGCTATATTGATGTACCACCTCATTTATCATGGTCTATGTGTTTCAGGGCTATCCACACATCTTGTCAATACTAATAACACCAGGTTTTCAGCCTGTCACAATTTCCTTCTCCCTAAAGTGCGTAGCAATTATGGAAAACTAACTCTTAAATTTACAGGTGTATCCGTATGGAACAACATACCACTTGAAATAAAGTTATGTCCCACATTCTATTCGTTTCGCAAAATGTTTAAAGAGTACCTAATCACAAAACGTGTTTTCTAAACTCTGCCGTCGTGCCTTACTCCTAATTTTAGTATTTCTTTTACTCACTATACCACTTGCTGTTACACAGAACTTTTCTTGCCTTGTTGTTATGAAATTTTAACCATTCTTTGCTTAATTCGTACAAAGTGTTTTTTACTGCTTGCTGCATTGTTATCGCACTTGACTTATTTTCTAACGGAGGTCCCCCCGACAGTTTTCTAACTTCGGGACCTCCTCTGTACTGTAGAATTTTATTCATGTAAATGTATGCATTCTTGAAATAAAGTTTGATTTGATTTGATTTGATTATGATCTACTGTCATCTTTTATGCGTGCCTCACCTGTTCATTAATTTCCTCCAGGTTGGCCGCGGTGGCAGAAGACTACGAGAGGCTACATGTACTAGCCTTGGAGCGTGCAAGCAATGCGAGACAACAGGCTGAAAGCTTACTGATACAGCTCGCACAGGCACAGTTGAGTTTACGTTTCACTGTTTACTACAGACACTTTTCATACTTGGGAAGCTAGCTTTCCTGCTGTTGCCGCTTGCCTAACTAATGGCGGCTGGTAACTTACTGCATGCAGCGTGTTCAAGTGCAGTTTACTTCCCCAGGGGTGGAACAGCTGCCCCATTGTGTGCCAAACTTGTTCATGGCACACTATCCTGCTCCAAACCACCCCGGCTGCGCCAGCCTTTTTTATCGGCGCCGCAGCACCTGAATTTAGCCCTAGGTTGTGACAGCCGTAAAGTCTCTGGCCGAAAACGTAGCTGAAGCATCGCCTTTTGGTTTTATTGAAACGGTTATGGTTTTGGTTTTGTCAAGGCTGTGATCTCTTGAACAGCAGCTGGGAACTTTGATTCGATGGGCACGGTTGTGATTGCTGGCACGCACACTATTTAGGTAAGCATCAGCGCGGATGGCTCGTAAGCCCTTCTACGTGCTGCACTATTAACGCGAAGCGACTGTGAAAGAACATCTCGCACCATCGTATTGCGTAGCTAAGCCATATGATATTCAGAAGAAGAGTTAATTGTTAGCCTTTGTATGGCATTACAATTTGTTACCGTATTCATTGCTTCCGTCTCCCAGTGGAACTGTTTTTTTTTTATCTTGATGGCAGCGTTAAGAAAAGAAAAAAAAAAGGAATGACGGTAATGGTGTTCAAAAGGAGTGGGGTCGGTGTCCAGTTCCTGGAACAGCCTCGCAAAGACAGGTGCGCAGGACTACTCATCTAGCACGCGTGCATATTCTCGTTCATTACACCACTGTGCTTCGTTGAACAGCGCTAATCAACTGATGCTAGCGCCTTCACATTAAAAGAATGGGCAGGTATAGATTGCTAAAAAGTCACTGTCTCATTGTAAGGGCAAAGCAATGAATGCTATAGCAACGAGTTGTAATGGTATATGAAGTAAGGCTGCCAGCTAACTCTTCTGAATCCGATCACACTCAACTCTATAAAACGCTGCTGTAAGACGATATGGCTATGCCAGGTAGAGCAACACTTTTTGCGCAGCCTCTTTGCGATGAGTATTGTCTTTGTTCCATGTGTATTTTTATGTATTTATTATTGTTTTTTGTTTGCCCTGCTAGCCGTATTGTATATATTTTTATACCCATGGTGCGAAATTCTGTAACAGAATTGCAGTATTTGTTAAAAATTAGTAGATAAAAATGAGGGCGAAGTACGTAGAAGTGTATGCGAGCTGCCCACTGATAGCTCTCGAGCTAGCACGCGTGCCAGCGATCGCGATGCGCCCTGTGAGGCAAAGTTCAAGCTTGCTGTTCTAGCAAAACCCCCAGCACCTTTTCAAGCTCACTCAAGATGGGCGGGGTGTTCCCTCTGCTTTGGTAGCAGGCCTCCCAAACGGGGAGTGTTACAAAATGCTGCCTCTGAGGTACGGAGATGGACCAGCTTGTTTGATCTGTGCTTCAGTCGCGTTCGTTGGCCCCGCTCGCACGCTATTACCTGCGGGAAGAACATGCGGTGTGTGGGTCTAAATTTGGACTTTATATTGGACATGATGGCGATATCAAAAACTCGTCGAGGTTGTCCGTATAATTGCAATCACAAATTAGTAAGGGTATTGCGCAATTTAGCTCAGTGTTTAAATGCCGCATCGGACAAATGCTGCTTCACGCGTGCTATGAAACGGGGCTACATCTGGTGTGAACATTCTGCGTGACTGCTTCAAACTTGCTCGAAAAGCCTCTCTGGCTGTTCCAAGCCTGCTACAAAAGGCACTTTTGCCTGCTCCCGGGACTGCTCTCAAACCCATGCACCCTGTTCCACCCTTGCTTCCACCATAATGTGTAAAATGCCTCTTGACATAAACGCACATTATAGGCAAGCCCAAGCTGTGCGACTAAGACCCCATCACCATTTGAAGCACGGCAGGTGCTGCTGTTAATTGGGCGAATGTGCAGCATTTAAAAGAAAACCAGCACATTGAGCAAATGGTCTATAATTGTATTAACAATCCAGTTCACACCATTTATATCGTAGCCAGTTACAGTGCAGAGCTAATTATAATGTTGTTTTTTCTGGCTTTCGTTTACCCTGTCATAGAGCTCTATGTATATGCACGCCGCTTATTGTGCAGCCCCCCCCCCCTCTTGAGATGAACTAGTTTTATAAGGTAGCTGCAGAAAAATTCTTACAGAGACGAGTGAGAGAGCGCTCTTCTCGGCGGAGCTGAAGCCGCTGGGAAGCAAGGAGCCGCGGCTTTATGAAGGAGGAGGGGATGCGGAGTGAACGAATGGAAAACAGGGGAACAAAAAAAAAAATGGAAGGAAGGAGAGGTGGGCAGCAGTGCAATGTGGGCAAATAATATGAGGAGAGAGAACATTTGTGTTTGATTTCAAGTCCGAAAATTTAGTCAATGGCTTTCCACTACAGCACTCTTTTTTTTTTAATGCAAAACATTTCTTAGCGAACCTGTTTGACTCTCTGGGTACTTACCTTCCTCGCCGCCAACGACTTTGTGCTGTCCTGGTCGTTACGTTAATGGGATGTTAACTGATCTCGGTATGGAGGAAAGAAGTGTAAATTTGGGGGGGACTCGTTTTCTTTCTTAGACATAATGTTGATGAGGACTAACCGGCAGTGATGCCAAGGAAAGTAAGAGGGAAGCTGTAGTATTCGTAATGCAAATGTGAAAAAAAAAAAAAGTGGATCAAAAGGTAACTTGCCGGTGGCAGGGACTGAATGTGCAACCTTGGAATAATGCGTTTGATTCTGAGCTATGGTGCCAGTCATCCCTGCGTCCACTTCATAGGGTATACATGTGCATTTCAATGTGGCAGTGTCAGTGAGGCTGCCTGTAGTCATTACGGTGAGTGTGGAACATTTTTTTCTTTTCTTTTTGCCTGTTGGCGTCAAGTAGAAATTGATCTTATTATGAGCTGGCAGCTGACCAATAATCTCTCGTATACTACCTGAAGGTGCCAAATCTGCTAGAACGAGACCCTCGCTATAAACAAAGGGAAAAAAAAGTGTTACTTTAAAGGCTTGTTTCCTTTGTTAATAAAAACTAACAGACAGTGATGCCAAGGAAAACACGCTCATATTTCATCAATCTGAAACTGGAGGGCTAGAAAAGGCTCTGTGGTTGACCTCACTGCATGTTCTTCACCACACATACAAACCACTTTTGGGTATAGTGACCAACTTCCGCTCTGGACATTCTTGAAGTGAGAGTGGTCATCTGACAGCGGGCACAACTTTATATGTACTGGTTCTGCTTGAAGATGGGCGTGACATATGCGTCTCGCTTTATTTTACCCAGAGCACATTGCCTTGAGAGCAAATCACACAAGAGCGATTTGATGCGATGCGAGTTGATCCTGAAACAAACAGTTGAAAGCACCAGCCTGCTCCGAATTGGCCACTGAAAAATGTATTTGCTGCATCGGAAGAAATCATGCTCCAGATCAACCATTGAGAAACACATCTTAACTGTGATAATTGGAGAGAAACTGGGGCTCATCACTGCATAGAAATTTTGAGCAGCTGTAAAAAGTAGATTGATCTTCCTTCTTAAAAGGTAGCCAGAGTTAGTAGCATCAAGTCAACCGGCACAAGGGTATTTCTGTAGTGCTTATGCTGTTCTCACAGTTTACGTATGGGAATACACGATTGTACAAAGTTGACAGAAATAGAAACTTTTGGTATGATTGTATGGCTCCCTTTTTGAGGAGTCTGCACAAGTTTAGCGGACAGTACGAGACTGGAAGGGTTGAGTGGTCCTTTGACTTTTTTGCTGACCTTTTTTAAGATGAAAGATGTCTGTGATTTTACTTAGCCAAGTCCCACTGAAAACCGTCATAGCATTGAGGAAGCATTTCACCATATTCTCTGAGCTTAGATTAGTTGCAGTGTCGCATCAAGTTTGATCAACAGATTGCATTTTTTTTCCTGGTATAAGGGTGTAAAATGGCTGATCCTAATAGAAAAGAGCTCATTGTCTCCACTACTAGTGTAATTGGAGGCTCTGTTACAGAAGGTTCTTTATGGCTCAAGTGTACTGGGACAGTACATTATACTGCACTGCAACTGGGAAAGATTTATCACAATCAAGAAGTGTTCATTGAAGTGTTCATGGTTTTCAGGGCAGAAAATAAACGCCTGGAGAGTGAAATGCATTCAACAACTAAGCGGTTGGAAGGGGACCATTTGCGAGAGCTTGAAGTACTGGCTGAAAAACATGAAGCACAGGTACAAAATATTCCTCTGAATAGATATTCTATATTTGCTTTTCATTTGTGTACCCTTTGGACAACATTGACATATTAGATTACATTATATTCTACACTGGAAAGGACAGTTGCACTTTAGACTTGATTGCTGGAAACTTCTCTTTATGCTTGGTCGCCTGACAATTGCAATGTCACTATTTTGAAAGAAATATACTTCCTTAGTGCACAGGAAACTTTTCAGAAGAAAGATAGAGCAAAGATATAGGACAGAATGCTCTGTCCTATCTCTCTGTTCTATCTTCCTTCTGAAACCTTCCCTGCGCACTAAGGAAGTATATTTCTTTCAAAAATGCAATACCAGCCAGCCCAAGTAGTGACTCTTTTGCAATGTCGCATTTTTAATGTGCCATATTGTGTGCGTCTGGACTAATCATATGAAATATAGAGTACCTACAACAATGGCTTCATTGCTGTGACCATGCACTATTGAACACAAGATCTAGAGCACGATTCCTAGTTGTGGTGGTTTCAGACAAGAATATTAGGCTCGTAAGTATCTTTCTAGATGCTCCAAGACTGCTACAAAAGGCACTTTTGCCTGCTCCCAGGACTGCTCCCTAACCCATGTCCCCTGTTCCACCCCTGCCTTATTTTTAGGGGCGAAGCTCCTTAGGGCATGGGCTGTGGGTCCCCTGTAGCCTGTATGTAGCCACCTCTAGTTTAGTTCTTGCAGTGTTCACTAGATGGCGGTACCGTCCCCTGTATGTAGCCACCTCTAGTTTAGTTTTTGCAGTGTTCACTAGATGGCGGTACCGTCTCCTGTATGTAGCCACCTCTCGTTTAGTTCTTGTAGTGTTTACTAGATGGTGGTACTTGTAGCTGATGATGAAAAGATGCAAGATGTTATAAACTAGAAAGCGGTACTTGTAGTTGATGAAAGACGCGAGATCTTATAAAATAGGAATGATGTCACATATGGCGCGTGTCATTGGTTGAAGGCAATCGTTCGATTTAGTGTGGCGACGTACGCTAGGGGGAGCGATGTAATAAAATCGAGTGGGCAAAATGTACAGAGGATTCATGGTTTACCAGGTTTACCTCCGGAGCTTCGCCCACTCATCATCATTCACTTCGTGGATATGGCGGAATTTTTTTCATATTTGGGAGAAACATGCAGTGTTCCAAGAGTATCTTCTCTCTCCATTATATTTGCAATGAAACGAAATAATTTCTAGCCCTCCATAAAAGCCCCATAATAATTATTCAGGTGTTTTATTCAAGTGTTCAATGTGCAGCTTCGTGCCAGGCCGAGAAAGAAACCATTTCTTTCCACGAACAAATACATGCTCACAACCACTTGCTGCCGGAGTCAACCAAATGAGCTGAAAATTAATATTCTTCTAGTTGTTTAAGCTTCACTTTTTTCCAGTGAACCGTATGCCATTTTGAACAATAGTGCTTCAATGTCCATTAAACTTGTTTCTCCAGTGTACTCCAGGATGTGAAATTAGCTGCTTCACAGTGCTCCAAGATGAAACTTCTTGCTGCTCCAAAGGGCTCCAGAATGAAAATTTCACTGCTCCGAAAATTCCTTCAGATCAGAAGTTATCAGTAGCATCACTGCATGCATCAAACAAAAACGGGTTCCAGAAAACTCTTTGCGACTGCCTCTTTTTGCATTTCCATGGCAATCAAATGTTGCTCTCTCACTGGGCTCATAATGCGCTCTAATTTTACACGAACGTGGAAGTGATGCCTGACTGTTACATAGTACTTCTGCCTTCATTCTGTGCGAGTCACAATGTTTCAATGCAAGAACACTTAGTTGGCAACGACCATTTGAAAGGGCAACACCATTTCATGTCGATCACTGGAAATGCTATTAGCCATTGCAGAGCAAGAATCCTATCTAGATAAACTACCAACTGCACCGTAATGGTTAAAGATTTTTGCCCCTGGAGTCATGTTTGTGTCACAATTGCTGAAGTGCCCTTGAACCAGATGTGAGTTATTGGATTCAAATTTTCTTGCCCCAATGCATTAATATATTGCTTTCCAGTTGCGTGCTAAAAGCTCTGAGTACCAGGAGGAAGCAGCAGCGTTGAAGAACCTGCAGCAACAGTACTTGGCAGACAAGACGAAGCATCAAGCTGAAGTGTCATCTCTTCATCATGAAAAGGTGGGCATGGCTGCTTTTTTCTTTCACATCCTTTATTAGCGCACTTAAAGGGGTCATGAAGAGCCCCTCAGGCTTGGCGAAAAAACACAGGCACTGCTCTGAACATCTCGGCTAAATCTTACAGTAGTGTGTAAGAAAGGGACCATAAATGTAGGAGTGAGAAGTTGCCTTTTTTTTTAGGCACGCTCTTTTCCTACGAATGCCTGCGCTCTCTTTTCGGAGCTTTTAGAGCCTGCTGTTCGACGTTTAATAGCAGATAGTATGCTGGTGGTGAACAACCGATAATAATAAATGTTGGGGTTTAACGTTCCAAAATGGTGAACAACTGACATAAATCAAGAGCAGCTTTTGAATGAGATGTACTTCTTGCCACAGTATGTCATCATGTGCTGGCCCCGCACACCACAGTCTGCTAATGATATGCAGCGAGTCACACTCACACTGCTGGAATCAAAACAGGAGAGAGTCATCGCACTTCATCACACGTACTGAAGGTTGTGACTTGCACTGATGTAATTTATTCCCCAGTGCTGTACCTCCCTGCCGAGTCTCCATCACACTTGTCGATACCAGAAATTAGAGAAAGCTGCACAACATATCTCTGTAACCTCGCTCGTTCTTGATGGATATGAGAAATTCTTGCAGCAATCAATTCGTAAAGCAGCTAACTTCGATACTGAAGTAAACCTGTGATTAATTCAAAAAGTGTTTCATGGCCCTTCTAAATAAAAAATCAACTTCCTTTGCATTAGTGTTTTCAAAATACCAAAGAAGTTTATACTGTTACCATAGGGAGAGTCTTAGCATAAAAAAAAAGCAATAACGAAATGCTGGCAGTCATAAGGTCTTCAGGCCCCTTCAACAGTTTGTAATTGCATTGTGAATTGTGTTATATGGGAGCCAAAAACTGTATTTAAGGGGGTAAGGTAGGGCAGATCAACCAAAAAAGCCATTTTTTTATTTCATTACAAAAAATAATACACCCTTCAAGGAGCAAAACCATGCATAGGCAAGTGCATATCAATGTGCCAAGCCTATTAAAAATGGCACCTGAGACCATGCCTCCTGACAGATACGCAAGCTCTTTTCTATCATTCTTTCTCCGTGCATGCATCTTTTTTACAATAATTATGGCCTGATCAGCTGAATATATCTACTTCCGACCATTTTCATCCTTTTTTATCGTAAATTCTTTCACCAAATTGTATTTTTAGGGAATTATGGCTGTATGTTGTGAGAATGTTCTGCAGCTGTTTTTAAACATAAAAGCACGTTTTTCTCACGATCAGTTTTCTGAAAAATTCCCTTTCCTGAAAAACTGACAGATCATGCTCAAATTTTGTCAGACTACTTCTGAACTTCCATCCAAATAGCCTGAACCTAAAACATTGGAAACGATGTAGGCTCTCCCATTGTCCGTTGTCACCTTAGGTGGGGCTGCTATAACTTGGGGGGGGGGAGCTAGTCAGCCTTATACATTGACATAGGGGGGGGGGGGGGGGCACTGAAATGGACCTTTGTCGCCCCTGAAGGAAAAATCTGGGCATGCTTATGCTCACTGCAGATTTGGTGGGACGTCACTAACAACTTTCATTGCCATTCCTAGAGAGCTATGTCAATGCTAGACGCATTTGCGATGGGCTTTGGTCAGGAGAATCGGCATTGTGTTGCATTTTGAAAGTGAAATAAAATTTATTCTAAACGTTTGCCATGTCCGACCATTCGTGTGGAGTGTCCTTGCATATAGAGGAAACCGACAAATGGCTTGTTATATATAGCCTTGAATATTGGTGGCACCACGCTTCAAGCGATTTCTGTTTACTGAGAGTCTCTAGTACATATGCAAGCAGCTTTATAATAACACAAAGGTAAATCACTGTTCTATGGCTCTTGTATTCTTATCTACTATTGTAGCGTTACGTTTTTAGTCCACGAGTTTGCGTACCCTAGCTTTAAATATATAAATACCTAATAATTAATATCATCCCTTTAAAAAACAAAACTTACCTTACTTTGATAACTTCTAGGGTTCTGAATCCCAAAACCACGATATGAGGCACACCAGAGGGGAGGACTCTAGAAATATTGACAACCTGGGTTTCTTGAACACGCACCTAAGTTTGTGGGCCCCTAGCATTTCATCTCCATTGAAGTTTGACTGCTGTGGCTGGAGTCGAATCAGCTTTTTTCGGGTCGGCAGCCAAGCACCATAAACCCTGTACTACTGCAAGAGTTATTGATGCCCTTCTTGTGAACGGTTTGATGTCTCAATTCGTTTAGTGCTATTTATTACTGTTCTACTGACTTCGCACCACATCTGTTAGCAGAAACATACACTGGCAAGGTGGGTGGCTTCATTACATACATGCAGAAATGCTAATTGCCTTAAATATCCTTAAAGGAATATAAAGCACGAATATACAAGCTCTAAAGATGACTAAAGCTTACTATAAGTTGTCTTCGTTGGGTGTGAACTACCACATTGGTCTATTTCACCAAATTGTTTCAGTGCAGTGTCTTCTCCTGTAGTTTTTTGTGTCTTGGGTTGTTGTGTTGCTCAAAGTTTTTAAATATGAACCTCAGTTAACTCGCAGTCTCGCATTCTAGTACAGCTAGAGCTCCAGTTTTTCTCGGCCAACTGTATTTTGGAGAACTGCTTGCTATTTTGGAGAAAGGAGGCTGGACATTTCTGAATGCCCAGCACCAGGTACAATCTCTGTTTAGCCAGCAGTACACTTCTTGAATTTCGCACCTAGCAGGCGTTAGTACAGTTTATATAGCCTCAAACCATCACTGCTGGCACTGTGGTTTGCACAAAATGAGGTGCAAGGAAGAGAATGCGGAAGAGCAAAGTGATATCCATGGTTTTTTGTGCACCCGCAGGCTGAGCTCGAAGCACGACTCAAGGGCCAGGAAGCTATCAATGAGGATCTTATGTCTGTTCTCGAGAAGGAGAGAAACCTCAACCAACACCTTACAGTGGCCATGGGCGAGCACGAGAAGAAAATCGCCCAGTTGGAACATCAGGTGTGCAAGTTGCAGTCAGAAGTGAGGCACAAGGAGATGCTAAATGAAGTTCTGAGCAGTAAGGTCTCATTGGATATAGCAGCGGGAACTGATAATGTCAGGGGTCATGCACCTTTGCCGCAGACCGATTCCCAGAACCCCACGGCCGCCGCCAGTGGCAGCAAGGCTGACAGCGGTGTGCAGGGCATGTCTTCCGGCAGCAGAAGTCATGAGGAGGTGTCCGTGTGCAGCAATGCTTCGCAAGTGTCGCCACAAGAAGGATTGAAGTTGGACCAGGAATTAAAGGACATCACATCGAAGCTCGACAAGAAAAAGGCTGCCGTGCTCCAAGCGAAGTGTCTGCTCCGAAGCACAACCAACGAGCTTCAAAAGTTGACAAAGCTTGCCGAGGAAAGGGCTAAAATGCTGCAACGACTACAGTCTCGAATGCAGAGCACCTCGATGTCGTTGTCCACCCCTGGTGGTCAGAAACAAAGAGCCGGCGACGACAACGCGCATCATGTCCGCACAACCAGCAGCGGATTTGTGCCACTCGCAGCAGCTCCTTCATTTTTGAAGACCGTCAGAAAAGTGTGCAATAGGAAAACGGCCACTGCGCAAAAGGAATCGCTCGGCACTCTTGCAAGTGTGTCTAGCATACAGAACAACTTTGAAAGTTCTGGAATTTCAGATCACGTCGAACTTCCCTTGGATGAAATGTCTGATTCTGACGTGTTCGAATCGACTCATTTGCATGAGAAGCACTCTGCCATGCCCAAAGCAGCATATCGTCTGCCTCGGCACTTGTGTAGCACGTTTGAAATGGAAAGCATTGAAACGCCGCACAAACTTGCTGGGGGTTGCTTTCAATATTCGGAAGAGAAATCCTACATGTCAGATGCTGTTTTTAAATCTCACGTCATTGACGATCAAGACCCAGGATCGGCACGCAAGTTCAGCTTTGGCTTTAAACAGGCAACGTCTTTATTGGATCAGTCTTCAAAAGCCGTCACTCCCCTAAAAACCTCTACTGAAGAGGTCGACACAGATAAGGTGAACACTCGCGGTGCTTCTAGCAACTTGGAAGACAAGAGCCCCATGCAGAAGGCGATATCACGCAGTCCTTGGGAACGAGATCAGTCCTGCAGGAGGAGTCGCAGCGGCCACGGGGTACAGTCCACACCCTCATACGATTTTCCTTTGCTGGGCAAGAGCAAGGTCTGGAATTATGTCGACCACAACAATCATGCTTCAGAGCCGGCCTGCCACAATGGCAAGTCGTGCACTTCAAGTGTGCAGAGGAAAGGGGCCCGGAGATCCCTCACATTTCCGGAGGAAGGACTTTGCCCTACAGTGCCCACCGTACATTGCTCTGCTGGTGCGTCAGATATTTCTGCGAATGTCCCACAGGAACGTTCTTTTCGTGGTGGGCCCTATCCAGTGCCAGTGAATGTCACAGTTCAAGTGCAAGCTTACCCAGAGTCCAAGGGCTCTCACAGATAGCACTTGCACAATTTCCTTTTCATTGTATGTATACATACGGTATCTTTGTTTCAAGTTTTATTTTTGTGTGGTTGACACACTGCCAAATTACTTGGTACTATGGGTTTCGTAAGTAGTGTATATAGTATAATTTCAATGTTTCATTACTGAACAAAAAAGCGTCTTTACTTTCTTTAGGCTGTTTTGGGGAGCTCGGTATTTTATTAAACTGGGCACTATTTTTCGAAGGAATACTATATAATTGTTTTAACAGTATTGGCAAGCACACGTGTTCACCAGATGTGCTCGTAATCATAAAAATAGTAGACATCATTTATGAGCTGGCACTTATGTTTAGTTTTTATCATATAGTACATGTATGTACAGGCTTTTTGGATAGTGTGAGGGCGTCGGATATTTTTTTAATATTTCTCCGTCTTGTTCTTATTACTCCAAGTAAAGCAGATGTTATGTAAGGAAATGTCCTATTTTATCAAGATGGAATAAGCTGCTCAATTCCAGTTGCATTTACTCTGTGCAGCTGCTTTTAAGAGTTGTGCCATCTGATTAATATAAAAAGATGCTGAGCTGTTTAGATTACTACACCATAAACTATTTCCAAACAGATTCCCGTGAGAATCTATCTTTGCTTACTGATACAGCTCTTTACAGGAGCCACGTTTTTCTATATTGCTCTGTAGAATATGACTTTACTTATGTTGAACTTAAATACTAGCTAACAGCGCTTTACACAATAACGCACACACAATGACTTACACAAGTTGTCGAAGCAATAAAACACCACACACGGTGGGGTGTTAGCATCTTATACTGTGGACTGTAAGATAACGAATGCAGATCGTTTGAGCCAGAGGTATGCGAAAGTGGTAGTGTGCCATGGAAACATTTCTGGAAAATGAGAAGACACCTATATTCATTTATGATGGGTGCTGACAAAGTAGCAAAAGTGTGATGGGCATTTCATGCACGACTGCCTTCCAGAGCTGTGCCTGTGAAATTGTTTGGGCATTGTGTATCCTGCGTGTGCACTAGAACTGCTTGGGAATTGTGTACGGTATTCACTGTCACGCTCTTTGAGCTTGCGAATCTTGTCAATATTTCGCAGATTCACAAATTGTACTACACATTGCCAGTTTTTGCTCTGCAGCATTCTAGTGAGTGAGAGGCTCGTTTAAGTACCATGCAATTGATTCAGCAAGCATACATTTCTACTTTCATGTGTGCCTGAGAAGTGATAAATGAAATATCTAGTACTAATGATAAAACATGCTTGATACAATAACACAATGCAGAGGTGTTATGTGCACCTTGATTGCAGAAGTACCCTAAAAATGTTTACACACACATAGCTTAATTTTAGGTCATATGGTTCGTCTCCATGAAAGGCATTTTAGTGCACATTCGACTATTGCTTGACCATTGAGCCTCTGTTTATTGTTCAACGTGTGTAAAAAAATGTGCATTACTCCAGTTTTTTTATTTATTTTTTCTTCTTTTGACAATATATGCCAGTTGTGCTATTTTTAATGCTCAGCGGTGTCTTTCGATTGAGGTATGTATCACTTTTGCATGAGCTGCTTTAGCATAACTCTGCATTACAACTGTATTGCTTTGCATTCAAAATAATAAGGGATGTTTGATGCATATTCATTTGTGTGCGTGTGTGCGTGCGTGTGTGTGTGTGTGTGTGTGTGTGTGTGTGTTATAACAAGCAGAGAAGCTGTTTGTGTTATTTTATGAATTTAAAGGTTTGGCAAGGTCTGTGCAAAATTACATTGTGCCTTAATAGCTACTTTACTTTTTCTCATTTGCTTGCTTTCACAAGTGAACCAGAGAACACTTTTTGAACATGGGTCGCTTGTAAAGGTTAACAATCTGTAGTTGATGCACTATATGCAGCTTTAAGTACACAATTTCATTTTCTGTTGCCTTGTGAAGTGTGAATAGTCGGCTGCGTTATTTCGATAGGCGCGTTGAGTGACCTTTGTTTTCACTTTCTTATCGGAAGGACTTCCACTTCAGCCAGCATTGTATTTCTTCATGAATATTTATGCCTCACATAAACAAAAGTTTTTAAATGTGCATATTGCTAAAGTTTATTTCGTTTTCATTTTCTGATGCTCTCAGTGAAGTTAATCACTTAACTGAAAGGGAATCTTTGTAAGTTGTGATGTATTTACATGAAGTGTTCAAAGTGTCATAAGTGTACATGTTAAGGCAATCCACATTAGTACACAACAGAAGAACTTATTTGGCTAAAAACAAGTGGGAAACTAAAGGGTTATGATGATTGTGATGTAAAGAAACAATTGCTGTCGAATTAAATTTTTATAGTGAAAGCTGTTTTGAGATCACAATGAGAGTTGCGTGTGCCGTAGTTGCCTGCTGCCACTGGTGTCTGTATCCACTACCACGCTAAATAAGAAAAAATAAAATAGTAAATAAAAAACGACAGACACAATGGGATTCGAACCCGGGTATCCTGCGTGCCAGTCCAGTATTCGACCACTGAGCAAAGCCGCTGCTTGAAACTCCATTGCAAACTGGCCTTAGGCAGGCTTGATGCTGGGAAAGGAATAGCGTTATTATGAGTAATGAAGTGTTTTCGAATAGCAATACAACGGCCAGGCGTCATACAATGTAAATCGCGTAACAAGTGGCTCATCAAATGCTTCAACCTATTACAAAAGCTTTAGGCATACATCTCAGGAACAACATAAAAAAATTGCACAAAATTCCTTTCAGTTATGTAGCAGGTACCATGCTGCTCCGAAAAATGACAAAGGATAGCCTAGCGAATGCCTCCCTACCGCACAAAAATTACGATGATTTATGGCATAGTTCGCACCTGCAAGTGTGCTTGTAGCAATTACCCAAAGAATATATAAAAAATGCTCTGATAGGCCGCTCTTCCAGCGTTCGCTGTGACTTTACTGCGCATTTTACGTGGGCTTGGCTTTTTTTTTATTGGTTAAAGTAGGGGAAGTTTTAAGAAGTTCGAAAATATAGGCATCATTTCATTAGTTGCCATAAAATAATGTCCCCATTGTAATAGGGACTGCAGTGAACATAAAGTATAATTAGGTGTGCGCGGTCCTGTTCACCACTGCAATAAGCCCGGGAAGGTCTGGAAAGGCACTGTTGAGAAGTTGGCACCCCCGACTGGCTTGGTTTCGTGTTGAGACTCGCTGCTCCTATTCTTTTCATTCATAGCAGCAGTGTGGAGCAAGTGCACGAAGGTGTCATTTAGCTTGTCTTGAACCTCATGGATGTGCATCATGGAGTAGCTATAGGGTGCTTGGGAAGAAGGAGGGCTGGGCGACGTCAATTCTGCCTTTGGTGTGAGACTTGAGACAACGATGTAACGCTGCCACTGCGCGACCTCCTTTGCATTGGCCACCTTTCAGAAGAACAAAAGCAGAGTTGTAAATGAGCATGATGAGTTTTTTTTTTTTTAACATTACCTGTATCACAGCAAGTAGGCTATATATATATGTATATATATATATGTATATATATATATATATATATATGTATATATATATATATATATATATATATATATAGATATATATATAGAAACGCGCACACACACATCATAAGGACAACACTGCCCCTGGGTGATTGCACTCGTGCTTCTCGAGCTAGAGGCTAGACTGTGAAGCAGAAGAAGTTGCGACGATAGAGAAATAGAACCGGCCCAGCGAATGGGTGTTGTCCGTTTCTTCGTGACAATATATATGTACGCTGAAAACACTTAGTGCCTTCTGTGGAGCAGTTGAATTAATGTGTATTGCAGCAATTTGAAGCATTATGGCAAACTGGAAAAAATAATTGCTACTTCACAATACTGATAGTGCCACCATTACTTTGAGAAAGCGGTTGGTAAGCTTTAAAGCCAGTGAAATCAAAATACGTGTGCAAGGCCACCTTGGAAGTTATTGCACCAGCTTAATGTGGCATCATAGATTTACGACGGCGTCTAGAGGCCATCAAAATCTGCAAAGGCCTTCATAATCATTTATAGATCAAAAATTGTTCACATTCTGTTCCAAGGGGCCAAAACTCGGAAAGGCAGGAAGGATAGCCAACCGCTTATTCAGTTTTCTATCCAGCAAGTTTAAGAAAACCATATTGAACCAATAAGCTCAGAATATGTCAAAAGCATTCAAATTCGTGATGTAATTGACATGCTGGAGTTTGGTTGCCAAATTACAGAAATGTGGTGACCAATTTTTTCGTCTAATATATGTACAATGATGAATAATTGTCTGATTTTACTTGGTTCATCGTTTTATTGTCCCTATAATGTGACACCTTTGGCGTCCTCAATGAAGTGGCGGAAGAAAGCAGTGCATGAAAACATTTTTTGGACAACCCTGTGTCTGGAACCTCCGAGCTCTGTCGGGGAATGTCTTAAGTACGAAACCACACACTCACGCTTGCAAAATTAGATGTATCTGGACCATACATACCTTGTACTGTATACAAGCTTGGTGAGGACACACGCACATTGGTGACATTATGATGTTTTGGTGCATCAATCTTTAGATAGTGTTTCAACGTGCATATCCTTTTTACGCATTTTCTCGCTTGCCAAGCGTTGTGTCGCAGTGCAGTAAGAGTGGTGTTCTCGGGAATGTGAAATTGCACTTTACTTATACGCGAAAAATCTTTTTGCTCTTTAGAGTCCTTCCAACTCTGTTCGGGCTTAACTTATTCTAGATATCTTTGTAGCAATGAATTCACGAGTAATCTTACTCTTCTACATAGTGAGGTCTACTGGCGTAGCCGGGAGGGGGGGGGGGGGGAGAAAGTTTTGGATTTCGCATGTGTATATATTCATATGTGCACATACAAACGCACACACAAACATGACGGAGGCCCCCACCCCAAGTTCATTGGTGTGGTCAGATGACGATTAGGATGAAAAGCGTTGCAGCGGCATTTGAATAGATCTACAGAATGTAGAAGTCTTGTTTGGAGTAATTATCTAACGAAACAACTCTTTTTAACGAAGTTACTATGACTATTTCCAGGCATAAGGAAAAGAACACTACATTCCCCTGTTAAAACCAATTTGACTCAAGGGGTTCGATGTGCTGGCGTAGCCAAGGGGCAGGGTGTATGGGGTTCATACCCCGAAATTTTCTCAATCCTGCATGTAATTAGCATGCACTCTCACATGCAAATGCACACACAAACATACATGAAGTTTGATGAAAAGTTTGATGAAAATGAAAAGGTTTAGAAGACTAAAAATCGTGTCGGCTTCCCTGCGGAAGCTCAAACGTTATATTTTTGTTCTAAACATTTTCATTTTGGTCACTGAATGATGCTTCATACAGAAGCCGGAACGTCATTTTTTAGTGTTCTAGACCTTTTCGTATTTTGTGGACATTCATACATTTTGTTTTTTCAACATTCTCTGCCCGAACATCTAGACGATTTATCAAATTCATTCCCAAAGTTTGGTTAGTCCCCTTCCCACTAAACAATTACACCATCTCCCGCTAAAGGGAACCATGTGTGGATGCTAAGTATCGGGCGCTAATGCTTACACAAGCAGCGACGTTCGCTGGCGCTCATCGCGACGTTGCACAGGAGATAAACCTGGCTAGGCAAAAGGCGCACAGTGATGGACCGCTATTTTCCACTAGAACATGCCAATCACTGCTAATTGGTGATGAGAGGCAAAAGACTTCGATTGGACAGAGAGACTACTGGAATGTGCCAATCGCTGCTGATGGGCTATGAGAGTCATCCGATGGGACACGGAGACTAATGGAATATGCAATTGCTGCTAATCGACAGTGGGAGACAGAAGACTCCGGTTGGACACATACTACAGGAACATGCCAAGTGCTGCTCATTGGCAATTAGAGACGGAATACTCTGGACACAGAGACTACTGGAATGTGCCAATCGCTGCTAATGGGCAATGAGAAACGGAAGACTCCAGTTGGACGTAGAGCACTGCTGTCTACTTTTAGTTAACGCTCCCGCTGCTAATTTTCATTGTTCAACAATGCACTGGAAAAATCCCCCACCGGCATTACCTTGGAGAACGTTTGTGCAGCGCGAACAGTCGGTTTTTTTTTCAATAAAAACAGCAGCAGCAGACGCTGCCTGTGTCGGTGTCGTGAGGCGAAAGAGAAGGGGAGGGAACGCGCATGCGCAATGGGGGTGTAAACGCCGCGAGGAGAGAGGGGGGTGAGCGCAGGCTGGCAGGCGCTGCCTGCATCGACCTTGCGAGGCGAGAAAGGGGTGGAGAAGAGAGAGAGTAAGGGGACATGCATGCGCAGTGGAGCGCGTACGCCACCAGATATACCGTGCACCAGATCAAACTCGCTCATAAAATGCTCCGCATCTAAAGATATTTTTTTTCTACGCTATACTAGGCTTCGTAAATGGTTCAGCGGCATTTGCTCGATCTTTATGACTTGTGGTATGCGCGCTGCTGGTGTCTGTGAATTACTGTGGTTCACTCTGAAACCACATGACGTTTGCTGTCCTGTAAATTTGTGGAACTGAAGCGTTATTTCGCACATAAGTGAATAGCGCTAACCGCGTCTGTGGACGTTGAAAGTTCCTGCTGGTCTCTTGTGTCGTCCCAGGCGACGTAGTTGATACCCTCGGTCGCAGTGACAGCTCGGTCGTCGCCCTCCAAGTGCCTGGTAGTCTCGATCTTGAAAATGGTGCTCGACTCCGAGGTGGTCATGGTGCGGTAGAACTCCTTCACTTCTTCCGGGTCCTCGTCTAGCTTGTAGGCTATGAAGCCTACCGAGTAGAGCAGGAACGTGCTGATCACGATGCCGTAGTAGATGAGGACGTTCACGCAGCGCACAGAGTGGTGTCGCTTGCGCAGCGGGGACTTGATGCTTCTGTGGTAGCTGTCTTCGAGTCCGACTTTGAGGTCCCGCCGTGGACTCAGCTGCCCGGTACCGCTAGTGGGGCTGCGAGTGCCTGCTGGACTGCGAGTGCGTGGACTGCGAGCACGCACTGGATTGCGAACGCTTGAAGGACTGCGAGTGCGCGATGAGCCGTGCGGACTGCCTGCAAGTAGATACATCGGCCAGTCCTTCAGGATTCTATGCGATCCTAAACTGTTCAGAGTTCTGAGATGACCCTTTGTTGTGATCACCCGCGTTCGGTAATCTGGCTTGAGGCCTGGGATTTAAGAAACTTTATTTGTGCCTGCAGTTGGGCGCTCGCGCGTCCCGACGGGGGCCTACGCCGTCTTCGGTGTTGCCTTTACTCGGCGCGGGTCTCCGCTCGCCGTTGCCGGCTCGCTGGGTCCTTGCCTTTCGAGCGCCCCGAGGATCTGCTGGACGTCCCAGAGCTGTTCTTTCTG